GGAAGCTCTTTGGCTGAATCTAAATTGGTTTCAAATTCTGGATTTTCAGATGTAGAAGAGTGGTCTGTCCTTACCTCCTGGGTCACACTAAGGGGAATCTCTATCCTTACAAGCTATCCCAGTAGTGCATACTTGCATGGCCTGGGGTTGAGATGTAATAGTTGGACTCTAGCACCCACTCTGGACCCTGAAATGAGAGGCACGTTCAGAGAATGGCACAACCAAAAGATAGATACCCAAGATCTTGCAGATGCAGCCTGGTCTCTGCATGAGTTATGGTCTATCCCAATCCAGACTTCTTTTTCATCAGAAACGTAAGTTTTGAGCTTCTTTAAGCCTAGGTCGGTTTTCGTTTTGCTTTTTTTTTTTTTTGGCATTTTGTTATTTGCACCTGAACTTTACTCTAGCAGGAATGAGTTCTCTGGCTGGCACAATGCAAGTCTGTCCTGCTCAGTGGGGGCCTTGAATACTTGTCAGAGTTACATGACACCAGGCAGTGGTATGAGTTACAAAAGGCAGGAGAGAGGAGAGGTGGCCTGGGGACCGCAGCGTCTCCACACTCCCAAGAATAAACAGGCAGAGGCCTGTGGAGCAGGGGTAAGGGTGTGCAGGAGGGGACACCAAAGGGAGTGTTTCAAACCCCGAGTGAGTGGAGATAAAAAGGAAAACAAAAGCACTTTTAGAGTTGTTTAAGGACAGAGATGAACGAAAAAAAAAAAAAAGTTCCAAAAGGCTCATGCTTGTAATCCTAACTACTCAGGAGGCAGAGATCTGCAGATCACAGTTTGAAGGCCATCCAGTCAGGAAGTCCCTGTGAGACTCTTATCTCCAATTAGTCAGAAAATCTGGAAGTGGTGCTGCGACTCAAAATGGTAGAGCTCTAGCCTTGAGTCAAAAAAAATACTCAGGGACAGCACTCAGGCCTGGAGTTCAAGCCCCATGACTGATTGGGGGCGGGGGGGGGGGGGGGGGGGAGCGGAAAGGGGAAGGGGGGTGGGGAAGGAAGGGAGAAAAAGAAAGTAGGAACAGGCCTGAAAGGAAGAGAGTGATGTACAAGATGGCAAGATGGGCCAGCAGATGGGCCTCCTCAATCTCCTGGGGGAGCACAGCAAGCTGCTCTGTGCACTCACTGTGGTTGGGGACTCATGGGCTCCCGAGTACTCCGTGGTGAAACAAGTGCTTAGCACGTGTACGGCTCTTGGTTCCCTCCTACCACAGGGGAAATAGAAAAAGAAGCTAAAAGACTGACTTGACTCAGGAATTGGCTTTTCCATTGAGTGTCTAGATTCCACCATCTCCTCCCAAGACCAAATACTGCCCTTTGCCCTTCATCCTGCCCTGCCTTCTCACCCTCCATCTATACACACACACACACACACACACACACACACACACACACACACACACACGCACACGCACACACGCACGCACGCACACACACGCACATGCATGCACACACGCATGCACACACATACACACACACACACATGCACACACACACATGCACGCACGCACACACACACACACACACCACGCACATGCATGCACACACGCACACATCATATGAGTGGACAAGTGGGCCTCTGCACCAGGCACCCAGTCCAACACCCTGGACCCCTGACACCCACCTCAGTCTCTAGACCCATGTAGTCTTCTCCCACCCATTTCCCTGGGTCTCGGCTCCAGCTTCACCTGACATCCTTCCTCCATGGCGTGTGAGCATTCGTTATGTTCATTTTTCATATGCATGTTGTTTGCCCTCTCCCCTCCCCAACCAAACCAATCAGTTCCCAGGCACAGGGTTCTTATCCCTTTTGTTTAGTGGTGGGTCCCGAGCATATTCAGAACAGCTCCTGCCTGGCATTCAATTAACATTTGCTGAATGAACAAACATTTTAAACAACTGAAGCTGAAGCTAATTGACTAAAGCAGGGTATTGAAACAAGTTTAAATTTAAGTACAAAAGTGCCAAGGGAAGTTAAGTAATTAGAATTGGGCTAGCAAATGAGATGATGTTAGGCCTCCCGTGAATGTCCTGAGCCCCACATTCCTGTGAAGATGGGGGGCTGTCTGGTGTGCAGCATGCCTTCCTATAGAACCCACCTCCCCTTCATTAAGAAGATGGGGAGCTCCTCTCCACCAAGGCACTTACCCTTGAGACAGTGCCAGAGAATGAAGACTCAGACAGACAGCACTGCCTAGCCCTCCTGGTGCAGCCCTCTAAGTGCTCATCAGCTCTTGGGCCTCAAGATGGGCAAGGGGACAAGAACACGGCTGTACCCTGTAGACTGGTATCCTGCGGGCCTATCCTGTTGCCCTCACACCTGCAAGACAAGGAACTTAGTAGGAGAGGAGGCCCCAAGGGAGAGCATTGGAACACAGAAATGTGTGTGGTTTTCCCATCTCATGTCACCCCAGCTGGGGCCACAGTGGTGAAGTAATAGCTTCTTCCACAACACAGATGGAAGAGGCATGTTTATTTTAAGCTGGATGCTCCCTCCCACTACCACCAACCATCGGTTCCATCCAAAGAGAGCCACCAAAGGGCTCCCAGCCCTAGCTTCTAGACAGAGCCCAGCGGCTCCATACCGCTGGCACTGATGCTAGAGTCACCTAAAACTAAAGCAATAGTGTTGGTGTGTGGAGAAACTGAGTTAGGGCGATGAAGCCCTGCAGTTTCCCATCTGGGTTTCCTCTGTGTCAGCTCTCCAGAAATTCCTCATTTGGGACAAATAGTGCTGAGGAAAAGCTGAGCACATGGCCTACTTATAGACAGCAGCCTTAATTATGGGCTCTGGGGTGGTATTTTCCTGTCATCATATAACCAACTTCCAGGATTGTTGATGGGGACTGATCTATCCAGAGGCACCCTGGGTCCCCTCCTCAGAAACCACTCCTGACACCTCAGCCTGGTTTAGCGGTGGTGTGGAGTTGTTACTGGGTAGGAGAAAAAGCCTGCTTAGGCTGGCAGGGCTGGTACTGCTGCCCATTGAGGGGGTTTTACATCAGACCTGCACCTGTGTGGGCTGGGGTGAGGCTGTACACCATCCCCTTTGGAGTCTGAAAGCTGGCTACACGTTCCAGCTGGGCTGGGCCACCCCTGGCCGGGCCTTGCCCTGCCCTGGGCCTATTCTCTTCCCTCCCTGGAAAGTTCATCGCTGCCCACGCGGGCCAGCACGTATGCAGCCTGTAAACAGCCCTCTTGTGCCAATGGAGGCGCATTGTTATGTAGACTTCTTTCTGCCCATCTCATTTGTGCAGGGGGCAAGGCTATCATTACCGCTCTCTTACTTGTTAAGTTGCCAGAGAGGAAAAAACAACAAATGAAAGTTTTTCCTCCTCCAAGAGTCTAATTACTTGTTTGGTGAGTCCTGACCCATATACATTTCCAAAGAGCAAGACACTCGATGCTTGAGGAAGAAATGTCCTTGGACAGCTTTCAGAGACCCTCTGCCCATTGATCTGCTGGCTGCTGGCACCACAGCTGGTGAGGCTTGCAGAAATGCTCCGTGAACTTAGGAAACTGACTCAGCAGTGGCCCCTCACCCCACACTCTCTCCTCTGGGTGCCCTGTTCTTGCCTCCTTGCTCTGGACCAGCCATGTTCTTTGATATCCTCCCCCTGCCTTTGTACAGTCTGCCTCTCTGTCCTGTGGACATCCAGAGCTACTTGTGACAGGTGCCTTAGCTTTCCCTCTCTAATTACACTCAGTTCCTCCTCCTCTGAGCAGGCTCTGTACCTTTTGCCCGCTTGGATTTTTGTAGGAACATGCTCACAGCCTGTAATTCTCTACCTGACTCCTCTCCTCCTGAGCTGTGAGCTCCTTGAGAGCAAGGTTTACATTAGGCCCCTTTTAACCTTTCACCCTGGCTAACTCCTGCGCAAGCCACCGTGGCTTGACTGAAATGAGCTCTTAGGGTAGAACACTCACCCTCTAGAATAGCAAAGGATCAAGTGAGCACTGCTCTCAGTTCTCAGCCTGGAGCTGCTCCTCTCCAGCCCAGCCTCCAAGTCCTGGCTCCTGCCTTGCCTTGTTGACATTTGACAGCATCTACAGTAACACTGCCAGCTCATCTTGGGATCGTTCAGTTGTGAACTACTTGGTCAGGCTTTGGGATTCCTCCTGCTTGTTCATTCCATCCCTCAATCCTTCAGTTTCCTCTGTACCTTACACCTGCAGATATGGCCTCAGCCTCTGCAGATTTTGTTTCCTAATGGGGAAAGACAGGCAAGAAGCAAGTAAATTGACAAATAAGATAATGTGGGGATATAATAACAAGGTGGAAACATAGACTGTCTCCCAGTAAGGGCATGGAGAACCACAGTGCCAGAAGAGCATGTGGGATAAGCAAGTGTGACGCAGTCTGATGTGAAAAATGGTCTGACAGAAGCAAAGCCCTGACTATATAGGTTTTCTTGTGGACAGGTTGTCGTTCACATTCTGTTAGCATATTCAAGAGGCTGCCCACAGTTCATACCTACTGAGTAAGACAGGTCTCAAGCTGCAGGAGGAGGCGTGCTCTTAGCCAGGCTTGTGGCCTTAGGGAGCACATAGAGGTCACATCAAGGATGATGAGACAGCCTTGCGTGTGGCACTGGCCTCAGCTCTCTTGAAACACAGAGCCTCAGGGTGCTGAGGCTGGATGTCTTCTGGGTCTTTCGGCCTTTGGCTTAAGACTTCATCCTGCTTAGTTTCGGGAAGCTGAGAACCCAGTTGCCACTCGATCCGCACACTCAGGGCATGGCATCCTCAGCCCCTTACACTTTAGCACACCCATTCTTTGAGAACCAAAGAAGAGAATAACCCTAGTTCCCAAAGTTCCAAGGCACCTTAAAAAAAAAAAAAAAAAACACTGGTTGCTTTGTTTTTTATAGATAATACCCAGGCTGCTAGAGAATTCAGAAAGCCATGCCTCAGATTGTCACACCAGCCTCTCCAGTAGGTTCTGAGTCCCCTCATCCTTTCCCTAGTCTAATTCTGCCCTTCTTTGACTTTACAGATGAAGACATGCACCTGTGGTGTCCCTCACTAGAGGAGGTCACAAAGGTATTCCACAGTTTAGGAGCCCCCAACTCTGACCTCTGCTCACTGGAGCCCTTACAGCTCAGTGGCAGGTGAGTACTTCCCCTTCCGCTCTATATCTCTGTCTCAGTTCCTGTCTGCCTCCCCTCGAGACAGACCCCCCCCCCCACTCCCCATCCCTGCCCCCAACTCTGGGCTGTGTGCTCTAGTCCTCTTTTTCTGCTTTCGGCTAACACTCTTATCACTTAAGCCACACCCTTCCATTTCCTGATTTTGGGGGGTTTTGGGGGGAAGTTTATTTTTGCTAGTTAGTTGCAGATAAGAATCTTTTGGGCCAGGAGCTGGTGGCTCACACCTGTAATCCTAGTTACTCAAGAGGCTGAGATCTGAGAATTATGGTTCAAAGCCAGCCAGGGCAGAAAAGTCCATGAAACTCTTATCTCCAATGAACTACTCAGAAAAAGCTGGAAACGGTGCTGTGATTCAAGTGGTAGAGCACTAGCCTTGAACAAAAGACGCTTAGGGACAGCAACTGGGCCATGAGTTCAAGTCCCAGAAACAAGAAAAAAAAAAAAAGTCTTTTGAATTTATCTGTCCCAGCCAGCTTCAAACTTTGATCCTCAGATTTCAGCCTCCTGAGTAGCTAGGATTGGATGTATGAGTCACTGGTACCCAGCATGCTTTCCCTCTTTTGTTTAGCTGTTAATGGACTCTGGCTTTAGCCCACAAATGGGAAGCCCCTTGCGGCGATGCCCACATGTCTGCCTTTGAGTACAAGTACCATTCCATGAGTGGTAAATGTCAGGGACATAGAGAGAGAAGGTTGGTTGAACTCTTCTGCTTCATCTAATGCCTATCTGCTTACTGAGTAAGCCTTTGCTGCCCCCTCCTTCCTGGTGGAATCTAGATTTTTCACCAAGTTAATACCTCCCAGCACATGTTCCAATCTCTTTGTCTGTTGTTTGGCCAGTTACCTAATAGCAACTCCTGGACACAAGGCACAATTTTATGCATAAAAAATTTTATAATGCTTAATGTTGTTTCCAAAGTGTCTTCTTTGTGACTGAGCTTGGTATGGTGGTGTTAACTTACATATGCATGGTCCCTGGCCTCTAGAGACATAGTCATAAAATACATAAATAACTGGTGACTTGATCTAGTTTGAAAGGTGTCATATATTCTTATTCTTCAGAGAATAGCACATCTCAGGTTTTCTGAGACTTCTTTGAAAAGGCTTTCTTCCACCCCCATGCATCTGGCTGACATCCCTTCACCCAAGGAGGTATTAGGACCCTTTTCCCTTGGTAGCTGGCTGCTGGATGTTCCTCTGCAGGGAAAGCTGGAGCTTTCTTAAGAACCTGTTCCACGACTACATTTAGTAATTGTCTGCCAAGCCAAACCACACTCAGCTATGCTATAAATACCCCCATGCATGCGCCAGCCTGCCACACTTCTACCCCTTTTCCTGCTGGAGCTCAGCATTCCACTTCTAGTTCACCAAGCCACTTGCTGCTTCCTATACCTCAACCTCGGATGAGAAGAAGAAATGTGAATCACATTTAGAATACCAAGGGGAATGGCCTGCTGGAAGGGATCAGAAGAGCCATGGTGACTGATAAGCATATTAGCACACCTGGAAAGTAGGAGATAATCGTGGGGACTTTTTCCCACCCAGTGATAACCCCTCCTTGAAGAGCTACTTTCCTATCTCACCTTTCCTGGTATTTCCAAGAATTGCTCCTTCCTGCCCTTCCTCTATGCTTCAGAACAAACCGTTAGTCTCCAGAGTAGGAGAGACATTAACATTGTGGCCCTTTAAATGTGTCACTCAACCTGCGCTCAAACTTCAGTTTTCACCAGGTGTCTTGAAGCCCTCACTGAGAGGGCAGAACCATGCTGTCCTTAGGACAGGGCCAAGGGAGCTGCCAGTGCTACATGGTCTCATTCCTAGTAATGCACTTTTGACCTCTTAACTCTCGTACTTGGGCTCCAGGACTTTGTCTGGCTGTTGCCAGTGTTTCTGCTGCTCCTAAGGCAGGAAATGAAGGGCTGAGACATCTCTGCACATAACCCCAGGATCTGTCTCTAGTTGTTGTGAGAAAGATAGTCCTTTCCTATTTTATTCCTCATGCCAAATTTCTATCCCCATCTCATCTGAAACACGTTGGAACAAGAACAGAAAATAGGAGCCAGAGTGTTAGCATTCTCAAAGGGACTTCCTCAGGTGCCCTGGTCTTTCCTAGGAATTCAGAAAACATCCTTAAGGTAGGGCTGTGACTACCCCTTCAAAGCTACTTCCTGATTACAAAGCTGTTCGTTTTTCATCACTGTGAAAAGTACCTAAAAAAGCAACTTACAGGTAGAAGAATTTATTTTGGCTCACAATCTAGTCCACCCTTATTTGACTCCATTATCTTCAGACTTGAGCAAGGCAGAAACATTATGGAGGAAACATCATGGATGCATGGTAGAGGAAAGTCATTTACCTTGTGGTAACCAGGAACCAGTCAGACAAAGATCAGAAGAGGTCACAGCCATGGTATACCCTTCAAAGATACCCCAATGAGTTCCTTCCTCCAATCAAGCACCACCTCCTAGAAACCCAGTCAGCTATGAATGTAATGGATTAACCTATTGATGAAATTAATGCCCTCATGATCCAATCACCATTGATATCATATGACCAACCATGAGAGCATTTTGTGGGGATACTTTGTATCCAAACTGTAACAAAAGCTCATCTGAAGAGCCTGCCCAGACATTCAGCCTGGCTCTTCAAGACCAGCAGCACAATGCTGTTGCCTGGTGCTAGTAGTTTACTTAGTTCTGAGAAAGGGCAACCCTGGGCAAAGTCAAAATAGAAATAAATGACAGCACATTGAAAGGACATCCTGTCCAGTATGGAGATAGTTGGAAACCACCTTTCTACAACAGTGTGGTTTAGTTCTCTCCAGATAAAATTCATTCTTGCCTCCTTCTGTTGGCTCAGCATATAATACTCTTCATTGAAGGATAGCGCAGCTTTAGTTTGGTGTTGGAGTAGAGACTCGGAGGGCCCCCTGCTTATTAACAGATGTCTGGCAATTACAGTGGCAGCAGTGCTCATACACTTACAATCTTCCCTCTGAGAATGTGGCAGCACTGTGCAGATAGTGATTTATTATGGTCTCTCACCCTCAGAACAAATACAGAACCCTAGGTAGAGGTTAGTGATATTTATCTTATACTTTATTATTGTAGTCCATGTGACACTCAAACTCTAGGTCCTAGATGCTGGCCGCAGAATGAGGGCTCTAAGCCACAGTTCAGGCAGGGGACTGAGGAGACAAATGAGGCTGCTTTGACCGTGGGACCATCTGCTCACTCAACCCTCATGTCAAGCAGGGCAGTGGGGATTGATAGACCCCAAATCTTCAGCTCTGTGTTGTTTGTGGAAGCAGAGGTACAGTCCTGGGGCCAGCTGATACTATAACTAGAATAGCAGCTAAAGGACTGTGCTTAATGATAGAGAGCTTGCTTAGCATGCATGAGGCTCTGCATTCCATCCTTAGTACTGTCAAATAACAATAGTAATAATAATAATTACACTTAGGATATCAGTCATGCTAGGAGCTAATGGTTCATATCTATAATCCAAGCTACTCAAGAGGTTGAGATTTGAGGCTCATTGTTCAAAACTAGACTGGGCAGGAAAGTCCATGAGACTCTTATCTCCAATTAATCACTAAAAGCCAGAAGTGGAGCTGTGGATCAAGTGGCAGCGCCCTAGTCTTAGCTCCCCAGGTCTGAGTTCAAGCCCAAGGATCAGCACACACACACACACACACACACACACACACACACACACACACACAAATGTCAGTCACAGATGCCAAGAATTTGTCTGGCCAACAGCTCTGAAAGGCAAAGAACAGAAGAAGACCCCCATCACATTGCTGTCCCCTAGGAGAAGGTCTGGGAAGGTTTCGTTGCTCCACTGTGAGCCACTCTACTTGGGAAGGCTGGCTGTGTTGTCACCATATTTCCCTTCTTCAACTCCAAGAAGATGTGTTACCAGCTCACACTTTCTATGCTCCTCCTCTAAGCTTTGGCAGAAGCAAATTGTCTGAAAGACTGTTTCTCTAAAGCCGCCAGAATCTGCCCCACCCTTTGAGAAATTTTGAAAACATGCCCACCCATGCTTGTGTTCCCAGTGCCTGCTCACAGGCTGGTACAGCCAGAACAACTCCTCACACATACCGGGGCAGGTCCAGTATGCACCCAAATGTGCAAGTACCAGCCTCTGGCCCTAATAAACGCTAAAATTGAGAAGAAAGGCTGAATCTAGCCTCATCTACCCTACCTCTAGCTTTGGTTTGTTAGCACCAACTTCCCAGGCATCCAGGACACAGCTCTCCTTCCCCTCTGAGAAACAACAGGGACAAGAAGTGAGGAAGGGTGAAGGTGGCGGCACTCCGTGTGTCCGGCGTTGCTGCGGCGTTGCTGCAAGTGGCTTGACGCGGGCCTGCTTGGGGGCAACATGCAGAGAACTTTGGTCTCTCACCAGAAAAAAAAATAAAAGAACCGGTGGTGGCTGCACCAGTAGAAGAGATGAGGAAAGAACCTGTTCTGGTGTGTCCACCTTTACGAAGCCGAGCATACACACCACCCGAAGATCTCCAAAGTAGTCTGGAATCACGTCTTAAAGAAGTTTTGGGTTCATCTCTTCCTAGTGATTGGCAAGACATCTCCGTGGAAGATGGACATATGAAGTTCAGTCTCTTGGCACACTTGGCCGACTTGGGCCATGTAGTACCCAACTCCAAGCTTCCCCAAATGTGTAAAGTCAGAGATATTCTTGATTTCTATAAGGTCTCTGTTAAAGATATCTCTAAGTTTGATGAACTTACTGTCAGTAATTTGCCTCCTAATTTGAAAATCACCTGGGGTTATTGAGCAATTCAGAAAACGGACACACTGAATATAATTTTGTTCTGAGCAAGTGGATTGCTTATTGGACCTTTTGATACTTTGTGTTTTATAAAACAACTTTCTGTAGAAGATTAATATCTCTGTCTTGTTCTCTCTTTTCATCATGAATCAACAAATAGGCTTTTTTCCTGTTTTTCTCATTTGCTGAAGCTGTTTTTTAAATACAGTTTAGTCATTAATAATTTATGGAAATTTCTCTTCAGAGGACATTGTAACTTGGGTTTAGGATAGTAGGCTATTACAAATTCAGATGTTGTCTTTACCCTTTCTAGGTATAAACTAATAGTTCATGAAAATGCCCTCACTAGGGCTCTAAGATCTAAGATGAAAATAGTATACATTACAATACATATACAAATGAGGGCATTTGTAGTAGATTAAATAATTAAAATAAACATAAAGGTGTGCTGTATATTTTAGAAGGTTGTTTTGTCACTGTGGACTGTTTGAATAGACTAAAAAATGCTGGACATTCATGATTAATTGCTTAGAATTAAAGTAAATTTCTTAAAAAAAAAAGAAGTGAGGAAGTACAGAGACTTCTCCCAGAGCTTCAGGACCAATACTCTGCTCTGTTCTGCTCATGGCCATGTGACTACACCAGGCTTCTTTCTTCTTAACGTTGTCTTCCTTGGCATTCCCAGGTACCAAGAAGTCCATGAGACAGACAGACAGCAAAAGGGCTTTGTCAGAAACTCACTTAACTGACTTGAAGTCAGCAATGTACATTTGGCCAGAAAGAATCATTTCAGGGGGGTGACCTGGCTAGCCTGTGGGAAGGGTGGTGTGACTGCTGCCTACTGCTGACCTTACTACAACCGTCTCAGCACCCTGTGTGCAGCTCTGATCTTTCCAAGAGGGATTTCTTCACTCCCTCAGCTAGATCTGTCCCTTCCCTGGGGCAAACAAGCAAGACAGGCCTATCCATAGACAACTTGTTATATCCAATGCATCACCTTTGGAAAGGGTTTTCTTTTTTTTTTTTTGGAAAGGGTTTTCAACATAGTTTTTATTCTGATGTTTTCGCCTTCCTTGAAACTTTAGAAACTAGGCCCATGTAAGTCCCTCATAATGCTTTTTTTTTTTTTTTCTGTCAGTCCTGGGGCCTGAACTCTGAGCCTGGGCTCTGCCCCTCAGCTCTTCAGCTTAAGGGTAGCTCTCTACCACTTGAGCCACAGTGCCACTTCTGTCTTTTTTTGCTTATGTGGTGCAGAGGAATCGAACCCAGGGCTTTGTGAATGCAAGGCAAGCACTCTACCACTAAGCCACCTTCCCAGTACCCCTCATAATGCTTTGGGGTAATTGAAGGGATGCTTTTTCTGGTTTCTGTGTCTCAGACAACTAAAGCTGGAGATCTCACCTGAGTGGCAGGCCCTGGGAGCCAGCTTCCCAGTGGTCTTCTACTCACTAGCATTTATGTTCTGGTCTAGTCTCCTCCCGGCCAAGTCAGGCTGGCTTGTGTGACCCATGAATCATCACGGGTGATGGGATATCACCTGAGGTCAGGTTAGGAAAGACTATGTTCTGTCTTTGGCCCTCCACTTGTTTTACTCCCGTTCCCTCTTGTCTTCCCCAATCTTGTCCTGTTCTCTCTTCTCCTTGGCTAGCTTTGGGGAACCCAGCTGACACACTGAGGAGCCTGTGGAGGGTCCCATGTGACATTTCACTGGGGCCCACCACTCCATGGCCACATGAGCAAGTTTAGAGCTTGGTTCCCCAGCTGGATCAAGGTTAAGAAAGTTGCAGCTCCACCCAAAGTTCTGAGGAATGACCCTGAGCCACAACCATTCAGCTGAGCTTCCCTTGGATTCTTGGTTCTCGGAAACGGTGTGAGATAATAAGTGTGTTCTTAATAAGTCTGTGGGTTTGGGGTGGGGGGTGATTGGTTATGGCCCAGTAGATGACCAGCACCCATGGCAATGGTGACCTTGGAGAAGTGAGTCCTCTGGCATCATCTGCTCCTGAGCACACGAGGGCCACTGGCTGTGCCTTGCTGTCTCCTTGTGCTCAGTTCTGTGCATTCCCTTATCATCTGTGCTGTGGGTGTTTTTGTCTTACCTCAGAATGCTTGAAAACAAAATCAGCCTGAGTTGTCAGGAGCAGGAGGACTCCCCACAAGAGGTGGTCTTGGACATCAGCCTGAGCTACATCTACAAGGTGAGTCAAGCCTTACCTGCCTCACCCCAAAGCACTCAGGTACAATCCAGACATAGTCAGCAGTGTGACTCCCCTGTCACACACAGCCAGCGAGCTCAGCACCATTGCAGACACCATACAGGCTGCTAGTACAATGTACTAGCTGCACAATGTACAGGCTGCACAATGTATTCACCCCACGGGGGTTTCAAGTCCAGCCATGCTGGGCTTGCTCTGTGCCTACCCAGCACAGCCTAAGGGGCTCACAGGACAAGCCCTTTCCTGTCTGTCATCTTCCAGGGAACCAGTTCCACAGTCCCCTCTTCCCCCACCACATGCCTCACACCCCTAGTTCTCTTTCCTTCCAGTTCCTGACGCTGTGTGTCCTAATGCGGCCAGGCAGCTATACCGACCAGAGCCTCCTGCAGCTGATAGAGCTGCTGTGCCGTGCAGGCCTGGATGTGGAGCTGCGACTGCTGCCCAAGACGGACCTCCAGCAGCTGCTGCTCCTACTTCTGGAAAGCATCTGTGAATGGCCAGGGAAGGTACCATGGCCCAAGCCAACCCTCAGCCACTGGAAACCACAGCACCCCCTAGAGCACCCTGAGTGAGGCCAGCACTGCTTGCAGGTCATCAGGATGTCCTTGATCTCTGGGATTCTCCTCTCCCCACCCCCTTCTTTATGTGGGCTGAGTCACAGCAGGTCCTGTGGCTTCTTCCGGTAGCCCACCAGTGTCCCCTGTCCCCACAGCTCCAGCCACTGTGCAATGCCCTCAGCTGGGTGTCCAACCATCACCATAACCTGCTGGCCCTTGTGCAGTTCTTCCCGAATGTGACCTCTCGAGGCAGGTGGGTGCTTCATCCTTCCTGCCTTCTGCCCTAGCAGGCATTCCTAAGGAGTCCTGTAGGAATCATTTTCTTCCCAACAAACCTCAGAGGAAGAACTAAAAATACAGTTCCCTAATGAATTCTTTACAAATGAAAAAGCCTAATTTTCTTAACATGGTCTTATTAGCAAAACACTGCCTTGTGCAATTATCTTCTGCCTGCAGAGCCCCGCCTGCCTTTCTTTGGGCTTCCTCCCCAACCTTTGGCTGGCTTCTTCTTTGTCATTCAGACTGCAGCTGATCACTCCCTTGCTCCTCCCTTAGCCCTCTCCAACTCTCAATTCACTGGTCTGTTTATTTTCTGCACATTTATCTCTGCCAGAAGTTATCTTAAGGTTTGTTTTCCTGTTTCTAGTTGCCTCTGGAGTCACTGCTTCACCAAGGCAGGTGCCTGGTCCAGGTTCTTCCGCAGGCTGTTGGTGCTTTGTAAATTCTTTGGAATGATGAAGGAGGTGAACAAAATGAACTTAGTTCAGAAGCTAAGACCTATTTGCTGGACTTGACTTTTCCTTCTGTCTTGGCCCTGCCCTGAGCAGATCCCTGCCCTTTCTCCCCTCCGCCTCTCCATACTGTCCATCCCTATGCTTAGACAGAAGACTCTACACTTGGCATTCCTGCCCTCCCATGGGCCCTTCTTCCCTCCTGGGAACCGCTCTCATGTGCAGATATGGAGCTCAGGGTCTCTACACACTTGTGCTGCGCAGCAAATGCTCTGTTCCTGATGGGCATGCCCAGCCCAGCTTCAGGCTCTTTGTTATGAATCTGGCCCTGAAAGGGAAGGTTTTGCTCTGCATTTCATAAAACCAGGCTTCTGGAAACTCTTGTCTGAGGTATCTAGGTGCTCCAGTGGATACTGTCTTCACCAAATGACCCCTGGTCGGGCCATTCTGTCAGTCTTTCCTCTCTCCCATCGCTCACCCACGCAGTGGCCTAATCCCAGCTTGATTGTCCTCCTGTATCCATGCCATTATTCCTTCTAGACCAAATCCTGTGCTTTCTGCCTTCCAAAAATCCTCAGTTCTAGCCGGGCGCTGGTGGCTCACGCCTGTAATCCTAGCTACTCAGGAGGCTGAGATCTGAGGATTGCGGTTCAAAGCCAGCCCGGGCAGGAAAGACCATGAGACTCCTATCTCCAATAAACCACCAGAAAACCGGAAGTGGCTGTAGCTCAAGTGGTAGAGCGCTCGCCTTGAGCTGAAGAGCTGAGGGACAAGTACCCAGGCCCAGAGTTCAAGCCCCACGACCGACAAAAAAAAAAAACAAACAAAAATCCTCAGTTCTTATTTAAGATTTCTCTCCATGTCACTTTCATCACCTCCCTGCTTTCATTTCCCTATCTATCCTAGAGGGAGCAAGGCGATCTATCTCTTCCTCTTCCTCAAAAGTCTGAAGAGACAGACCTAAGATTGTTGCACCTCTGCCTCACCTTTCTGCCCAGTGCCTGAATACCAAGTAGTGGTCTCCAAGGTCCATGTAGTCCAGTTCAGTTTTCCAGTTACTCCACATAGGCCTTGTTATTTGTAGTGGCTTTTCACAGATGCATGCACGAGCACACTCCCACCCCTCCCCACAAGAGATGAGCCTTATTCCTTTTCATAGCTGTATAATATTCTATGGTATATGTAAAAACAGTCCCCTAATACTGGTCATTCGCTCCATGGGTAGGAGCTTTGGGTATTTGTGTAGATATTTATTTATTTATTTTTGGTCCGGTCGTGGGGCCTGAACTCTGGGCCTGGGCGCTGTCCCTCAGCTCTTCAGCTCAAGGCTAGCGCTCTACCACTTGAGCCACAGCGCCACTTCCGGCTTTTTTTTTTCTTTTTGTTTATGTGGTGCTGGGAAATTGAACCCAGGGCCTCAGGCATGCAAGGCAAGCACTCTACCACTGAGCTACCTTCCCAGCCCTTGTGTAGATATTTCTAAAGGACAAAAATATCCATTCCTTGAAAGGAAATTGTCATCCTAAAGTATGCACATTGTCTCCAAAAAGCAAAAGTGGATGAAGTATTATTACCAGTGGCTATGAAAATACCTATTTCTGCACATTCTCATTAAGACTGTTGTCGGACTAGTGAATGGAAAATCTTATCCTGTTTCTGTTTTATTTCTCTGATTGCCAGTGAATAGGGTGCTTTTTTCATGTTTATTGAACTTTTGTATTTCTTTTACTACAGATTATCTTCTAGTATTCCTTATCTTTTTCTTTTCTTTTCTTTTCTTTTTTTTTTTTTGGCGGTTGTAGAGCCTGAACTGTGGGCCTGGGCGCTGTCCCTCAGCTCTTCAGCTCAAGGCTAGTGCTCTACCACTTGAGCCACAGTGCCACTTTCAGCTTTTTCTGTTTATGTGGTGCTTAGGAATTGAACCCAGGGCCTCATGCATGCGAGGCAAGCACTCTACCACTGAGCCACCTTCCCTGCCCAATAAAGCAATATCTTTTTTTTTTTTTTCAGTTGTGGGGCCTGAACTCTGGGACTGGGCACTGTCCCTGAGCTCAAGGCAAGTGTTCTACCACTTGAGCCAAAGCGCCACTTCTCTTACCTGTTTTCTACTAGGAAATTTATCTTCTTATTAACTCTATTGATTTATATGTTATTTATATATGCTGCAAACACTATTTTCTCCTAAACTTGTAAATTGTTATTATTGTTGTCATGCTTCTCCTTCTTCTCTTGCTCTTTCTCTTCTTCTCTTTCTTTTTTGAGACAGGGTCACATTAGATAGCCCACAGGCTGGCATCAAACTTGGAATCCTCCTGCCTCTGCCTCCTGAGTACTGAGATTATAGGCAAGCACAGCCATACCTAGCCTGTATATTATTCTTCTTAAGTCTGTCCCTAGGCTCTTCAGCTCAAGGTGAGCACTCTACCACTTGAGCCACTGTGCCACTGCTGGGTTTCTGGTGGTTAATGGGAGATGAATCTCAGACTTTCCTGCCTGTGCTGGTTTTGAACCAAGATCCTCAGCTCTCAGCCTCCTGAGTAGCTAGGATTACAGGTGTGAGCCACCAGCACGGGGTTAGTAGGTCCCCTTTGTTTTCTGTAAGATTGTGAAGCCAAAGATTTACTGTGTTATCCTTATTTCCTTATCCCCTCCCCCCTCCATCCCTATTTGGTTGTCAGGCAGGTTTTGGTTTATCCTGTCATCTCCAAGTTTTATAGGCCACAATTCCCTGACTGGCTGCTTTTCTTTTCTTTTTTTTGGGTCCGGTTGTGGGGCCTGAACTCTGGGCCTGAGCGCTGTCCCTCAGCTCTTCAGCTCAAGGCTAGCACTCTACCACTTGAGGACTGATTGCTTTTCTATTACTAACTCCTATCAGCGCTAGAGATTGAGCCCATGGCCTCTCAAATGCTAAGGGAAAATGCTTTAATGTTGAGCTACACTCTCAGTTCCTCAATGATCTGCAAATTTGTAGGAGATTGTCATAAATAGTAGAGTTGAATCTTTCACTAGGAAGGTCTTCCCTACCCTAAGACTGTTACATTTTTAAAAAGAGGTGGCCAAGTAAGAACAGCACCACGCACGTGGTATTCAGGTAAGGGGTAGGTTTATTCATCGTTCCGGCTGGCACCAGGCCATCTTGGTCCTCCACGCGGTGGGGAAAGGCCTGGGAAAGAGAGCTGGGAGAGCTGGGAAAGAGAGAGAGCTGGGAAAGAGAGAGAAAAGAGCTAGAAAAGCGCAGAGAGAGCAGAGAGAGAGAGAGAGTCTGGGCCAGAGTAGAGAAGTGGTGTGGACGTGGATGTGAAGGCAGCAATGGTATCGATGCGCTGTGTCCGCAGCAGACAGATGGGTTCGCAAAAGGCCGTCAGAACTGTGGGTATTCCTCAGAGCAAAAAGGGAAAAACAAACAGAAAAGGAAAAAAGAACAGAGAGGAATCCCAGCTATCCTGACTTTAAGCCCTTTATCCAAGTCACGGCACCATTTATGTTAGGTTTTTAAAAAGAGGTAGCTGAGTAAGAACAGCAGCACTCCCGTGGTATTCAGGTAAGGGGTAGGTTTATTCAGTAGACCTGCTGGGACCAGGCAAGGTTGGCACTCCACGTGGCTGGGAAAGGCCTGGGAAAGAGCGAGAGCTGGGAAAGAGAGGAAAGAGAGAGAAAAGAACTAGACAGGAGCTAGACAATAGCAAGACAAGAGCAGAGAGAGCGTCTGGGCCTGGGCTAGGCCTTATGTAGGGTATGGGCGGGGAAAGGTGTGGCCACATCAAATTCAGATGTGACCTCAGCAGATGCAGATGTGACCTCTTCCAGGTGTCCTAGTTGCCTAGGTAACGCAGGTACTGGGTGGAGACTTTGCTGCGAGGAGGGTGGAGTCTGCTAGCCATCCAGGAGCAGACCTTACAAAGACTAAAAAAAAAAGTTTTTGTTGTTTGTTTTTAATGTACTTATAGAATTTTGGTCCTGTCAGGTCTTTTTCTTTATTAGTAGTAGTATAGTTATGGGGCTTGAACTCAGGCCTGAGCGCTGTTCCTGAGCTCTTTTTGCTCAATGCTAGCACTCTACCACTTTGAGCCACAAGAGCCACTTCCCATTTTCTGGTGATTAATTAAGAGTCTCATGGACTTTCCTGCCCAGCTGGCTTTGAACTGCAATCCTCAGATCTCAGCCTCCTGAATTGCTAGCCCAAGAGTGCCCAGCCCTGTTGTTGTAAGGTGAATTATTCCAGAAGCTACATTTTGGAATTTGGAATACTGGAGTCTTTATTACACAACACTAGCAGTCTGCACACCACCCGTTGTTACAAAGGCCTGCAGTACCCAAATACATATAACACAGCTAGCAAACAGGCCAGTGTAAGGTATAAGTACGTAGGTTTCATTAGGCAGCTGAGGAAGAGAACACCGCACAGTGCTCAGGTAGGAAAAGAAGTTTATTTACAGAACTGCTACACCCAGCCTGAAGGATGGAGACCTACCCCCAGACCAGGACTTATGTAGGCCAGGGACAGGAAGAGGTGTGGCCAGAT